AATAGAACCAAAGGGTAAGTCTGTTCTTTGTACAAACAACAATAATGAGTAAACCAGTTGATTTCATAACTTATTCACAATTTATAGTTGCTATTTTCGCTAATTTTATGTACAAAAAATATTGCATTTTTCGTTATAATTATTTATCTGATATAATTTAACCAGCGACCTCTCAAGTTTAATCGTAAACAACAAGATTTTTAAGGATGTTCTTTATAAATAAGCACAAGGTCTGGCTATAAAAGTGGCATGAAGTTCTAGTCCTCTTGCTAATCTCTTTTCCGTTAGGTGTTGAGAGTAAATACATTGTCGACACAAGATCTCCCTGGTCGAAATCCACTTTGTTCTTCGATCTCTGTGGCTTCTTTTTCTTTTTTATAGATCTCCGTAAAGCGTTTGATTTCGTACCACTGCAGAGACTATGGACAACATTGGAAAGTGCAGGTATAAATGCAGTATACATAAATGCCGTGAAAAAGCTATATCAAGATAACCAAGCTTATATTAAGGTTGGAAACCAAATTTCCAAGGGTTTCACCCAAACAAAGGGTGTCAAACAGGGCTCTTGCCTCTCCCCAACCCTATTTAAAATATATCTTGGTAATGCTTTAAAACATTGGATGAGAAAATGCAGCCCAATGGGCATATGGGTAAATGACACTCCTATATATACAATCCTCTTCGCAGACGACCAGGTAGTTCTTGCCGAGGACCTACAAGATATGACGTACATGATAAACAAACTAATAGACGAATTCAAAAAATGGGGATTAGAGGTTAATACCGAAAAGACACAATACATGAATATAGGAGGCATCGGTCAAGACATGGAAACAGAAAGCGGATTAATTAAAAACGTTGATCAGTACGAATATCTCGGAGTTACACTAAGCGAAGACGGGAGAGACGACAAAGATATAAAAAGAAAAATAGGAAAAGGAAAAAACATGATAAAAACACTACATCCGATCCTGTGGAATAAAACTTTAACTAAGAAAACAAAGAAAAATATATATCAGGCTATGATTCAGCCGGTGCTGACGTATGGGTCAGAAGTGTGGGTCTTTAACAATAATATGTCACAAAAACTCCTCTCAACGGAAATGATGTACTGGAGAAGATGTTCCGGGTTAACTTTGTTTGACCACATAAGAAATGAAAACATAAGAGAGAGAATGAAAGTAAAGAACACAATAATGGATACGATAGCCGAAAAACAATTAAAATGGTATGGACACCTAAGACGGATGAACGAAGAAAGGATACCACGAAAGGTTTGGAACTGGAGACCTACACAGAGAAATAAAAGGGGAAGGCCAAGAAAGAAATGGATATCCAATATTCATATAGAAATGGAAAATAGAGGTCTTGAAGAAGGAGACTGGGCCGATAAGAAATTATGGCGATTGGGATGCGAGAAGCGACAAAATTAAAGTTGCAAACACTCGCTATATATATACAAGGTCTGGCTATGGGTAATCCCTTATAACCTATGTTAGCAGATTTATTTTTAAACTACATGGAAAATAATAATTTTCTTCCTCTTTTTTCTCTCTTTATAAGCAATGCTGCTTGTTTATTGGCGGATTAATACTTCTATGGAAGGTTGTCACTTCATCTTTTGCGCGGTCGTCCGATACTTCTTCTGCCGATTGATGACTTATTTCTTCTTATTTTGACGACACGGATCTTTTTTGTGTCTATTTTGTGTCTATTCATTTATACACTGTAGTTACATTTTCTTCTAATGTCTTCACTTCTCTTTCGATCTCTCAGCTTATTTCCTGTAATTCTTCTCAGTACTCTCATCTCTGCCGTTTCCAGTAGCCTTTGCGTTGTGGCTGTGTCGAGTCTTGTTTCTGAGGCATATGTCATTATTGGTCTTACACTGGCTTTATAAATTCTTGATTTCATCTCAGTGTTAATGTGTCTGTTTCGCCATATAGTGTTATTAAGGCATCCTGCCAGTCTATTTGCTTTTTGTACTTGATCTTTCACTTCTTTGTCCAGGTCTCCATAGCTAGACAGTGTAATTCCCAGGTATTTTATTTCCATTACTTGTTCAATACTGATGCCATCAATTTCTATTTTACATCTGGTTGGTTCTTTGCTGACTACTGTTGTTTTAGTTTTCTGAGATGAGATTGTCATATTAAATTCTTTTGCTCTTATGTTAAATCTGTGGACCAGTCTTTGCAGACTATCTTCATCTTGGGCTATCAATATGCGTCGTCTGCGTAACAGAGTATTTTGATTTCTTTGTTTCCCATTCTGTATCCTCTTCCTTTGTTAACGCTTTTGATGATTTCATCCATGATCAAATTCAAGAGCATGGGGCTCAATGAATCCCCTTGTCTTATTCCGCTGCCTATTTCTAGAAGATATGTAGAAAATAATAGTATAATCATTCTTCAAAGATTGATTATTGAATAATAATATATTTAATAATCAATCTTCAAAAAATAAACTCTTAAAAAAATCCTAGTTTAGTTAGATGTGTAGATGATATTTTAGCCATTATAGATAAAAACTTTTCAAATGCTAAAAACACATTCCAAATTCACTCAACCTACATCCTGACATCGGAGGAGTCTAGTAGAGTCTAGTAGAGTATCATAATAATATCAGACTAATATAGTCTAATAATTATATTAATTTTCTAGATTTAACTTTAACCAAAATAGATGATAAATTAAATTTTTCAGTCTTTGGAAAACCTACTCAGACTGACCACACTATTCCTAGAGCTTCAAATCCTCCTTTTCAACAGTAGATTGGCTTCTTTTTATTGTAATAGCCATATACTATTTAACTTCTTCTCTTCTTCAAGTGCCCTGTCCGTTGCGAACGTTGGCTATTAACATGGCAATTCTGATCTTGTTTGCGGCTCTTCTGAATAGTTCGACCGATGTGAGCCCGCAGATTTTGGAGACACGAGTGTCTTCTCCTGCCTGGCCCTCGCTTACTGTCTATTTTATCCTGGACAATCAATTGCAGTAGACGGTACTTATCGTGTCTCAATATGTGGCCTAGATATTCAAGCTTTCTTTGTTTAATTGTGCTCACGATTTCTTTTTCCTTTCCGATTCTTTGGATTACCTCTATGTTGGTGACATGTTCGGTCCAGGATATACGAAGAATGCGTCGGTACATCCACATTTCGAATGCTTCTAGTTTTCTCGTGAGCGTCTCTGTCAGCGTCCAGGCCTCCACACCATATAGTAAGATCGGAAAAATGTAGCATTTAACTAGACGTAGTTTTAGAGGAAGAGACAAATCCTTGCTTATGAGGAGCTTTTTCATATTGATAAATGCTGCTCTAGCTCGTTCTATTCTTGCCTTAATTTCTGTGGCCTGTTCCCATTTTGCATTTACGTTGATGCCAAGGTACACATAAGATTCTACATGGAAATTAGTATGTTGCTTATCCTTATTGTCGAGCAGGTTATTGCTTTTTGCTTATCAGCATCCACTTTGTCTTCTTGAAGTTGAGGCTCAGGCCGTATTCCTCACTAACTGAAATACTTTTTCCATTACCTGTTATAATTCGTCTGTGTACGGCAAGGATCACCATGTCGTCGGCATATCTTATATGTGTCTATCGTCGCAATCTTATATTTTCTTAACTCGCCGTTTATTTTTATGCCACTCATTTGCATTTCCCATACATTTGTTAAATTTTCCTCGAATAAATATTGAATAGGAGTGGGGATAAGATACACCTCTGACGGACACCTCTTTTGTTCTGCACACTTCCAGTGAGTTCGCTGACAATTTTTGCTCTTGTTGTGTGACCCCAGTATAGGTTTGCCACAATTCGAATATCCTTGTCGTCAATACGTGTCTTTCGCAGAATATCTATCAATTGTTTATGATTGACATTGTCAACATGCTTTTTCTAAAATCCACAAAGCACAAATACACGTCCTTATTCAACGTCTCTACACCTCTGTATAAGCACCTGGAGAGCGAAAACTTCTTCTCTAGTTCAAAGTGCTTTCCGAAACCAAAACTGCGATCTCTCAATATTTGACTGCACATTTATCATATACTTCTTCTATGAATGATCTTAGTGAAGCACTTTAGTGACATGATTGATTAAGCTTATAAGCCGGTAGTCATCACAGATATGGGCATTTGGTTTTCTTCGCTTTTTCCGCTATTATCATATGTTTGTTAAAAAGTACAACTAGATTTATCAAGGAACTGTTTGTCTGTTATACATAGGATCTTTCATATTTCGCAGGGTACATTGTCTGGATCTGCTGACTTAAGTCTTATCACCGATTTAAGGATTGAAGGTCTGTTTCTCTCCTTCTCCATATAGGTGATCATAGTCCAGTCAAAACTACTAATACTAATACTGTCTAATACTATTTAACTTACTACTATCAAATACTAATTTTAAATCAGAAATAGAAATCATTTAACATCTTGCACTTAGTAATGGGTATTCGCACAATATTACCTGAATGGCAAAATGTCCTTCGAAACTACTACTAAGAATCTAGATACTGTCCTTAATTCTAGGGATACTGGAGATCTTAAGAAATATATCAAAGTTACCAATACCTTAATTTGGAACGTAACTGCATGAAAGTATGTATCCAAAAACTATCAAACATACATTCAAACTGTAAAATGATTATAATGCCTTAAAGGAATTCTTCGGAACATGAATATAACAAAGAAGAAAAAGTTTAATATCTATGAAACGCTAGTAAAAAGTATATTATTACCTATGACACTTATCGTTTTATTTGTTAACCTTTTCTAACTGTTAGCCTGTTATACTTTTTTTGTTTCACTATAATTTTCCATTTATTATTCAATATTATGTTGTTGTATTTCAGAGGTGCACTATTTTTTGCTGATGGTCAACTTATGGGTAATCGAATATTGTTACAACTTGAGAAATATCTTACTTGATTATGAGCTAATTGGTAATATAATCGACTATCGACTCGAGTTCTGTTGTATAATGAATTTGGTATTATTTTTTAGTAATATTTATATGGAATTAGTCTTACCTTGCAGTATCCATCTATGCATATTCCTCTCGATCCTTTAGGAGCTGATTTACCAGTATGCGTAATGGGATATGAACACGGCGTCCCATCAATAACAGTCTTGTTTAGGGTTGCAAAAAAGCTCATTCCTACTGGTCTACAGTTTAAGGCACATTCGTCTTTAGCTGTAAGAAAAAGTTACGTGACATAATTTATTTTTTGCAAATTTTGTTTTATAACATATCAAGAACTAAATCACTTTACACGTAGTTTTATAAAACTATTAACAAATAAAAAAAAACTTATATAGACGGAAGAACTTTTGTTAATGTTTTCAGTCCGGTGTGACCATCATTTGTAATAAACATTAAAAGTAGATGAAACTGCGACACCGATGTAAAAGTAAGCCTTACATTAAAATCATGGTGAATTTTATTATATGAATGATAATGGTTCGACGATTTAACATGAAGGGAACATACATACTTTATTAATAAGTACTTTGACAGTATAGCTAAACGACATCAATAATAATATCCACAACTAATACCCTAAGACGGTAAAGGAGTCAAGGATATTTGTTTAAATTGATAGAATCTATACTCAGAAATAGAATGGTAAATATAAGCTATCCTTAGAGAGAGACTGTGTTTTCCCGAGTCGACAGAGGATGTCCACAGGGAGAGTTCTGTCGTCACTGCTGTGGAATCTGGAGACGGATGGACCAATAGAAACTTTAGAGGCAAAGGGTTGTAAAACAATTGGATATGAGAATAATTTGGTAATAAGCTCGCAAGAGAAGTACAACACGGTAGTTAGAGATCGTATGAACGAGGCCATGGAACTAATAAGAAAATGGACTAATAGAGAGGGACTAAATATAAGGCCACTCAAATCCACCATAGTCGCTTCATATGTAGACGAAAATTAAAGGGATTAGGTACTCCAAATTGCAGGGACAAGAAATTCAGCTAAAGAAAAGATAAAGTATTTCGGGTTTATACTAGACTCGAAAACTTACCTACCTGGAACCTTCAATAAGAAAAAATACCAAGCAGAACAGTTACTACCCTTATAAGGGGCAGGCGTAAGTATGGAAAGTATGGGGATTAAAACTGGACGTGGTGAACTGGGTATACACCTTGGTGATAAAACCTTTAATTACCTATGTATAGTTGATGTGGTGGACTCAGACACTTCAAACAGCCAAAACAGGAAAAATCCAAACTTAGCAAGGTGTAAAGAGTTACCTGTATGGGGATAACTAGTACATACGTACTACTCCAACAACAGCTATGGAGGCTCAAATAGGCCTGCATCCCTTGCATTGGATAATACAGGGAGAAGCAAGATTGTGAGCGTACAGAATAAAACAATCACTGAAATTTTGCAATGAAGGGACAGGGTATATGAATATTGCTGTTGGGACTGATGAAGTTCTTATTTTTAATGAAAAACTAGATCACATGACAGAAATATACAATCTTAAGGATTGATACATAACCATAAGTACCATAACCAAAAAGGTTAAAATCTGATATATAGATGGATCCAAGGCTAGAGAGGGTGTGGCAGCAGGCAAATACTGCAATATTCCAAAAATTAGCGAGGGCTTTGTACCATTTTTCAAACCAATATTTATGCAATACTGCAATGTGCAAAGGAAAATAATGAGAGAGTCCTTGAAAAAGAACAGATTCATATATTGTATAACAGTCAAGCGACACTGAAGACACTAGCGTATCAGCAAGTGACGTCCAGACTGGTGTGGGACAGTATCAAAGAACTGAATACACTAAGAGACCAGGATAAGCTTGATTTTGTCTGGGCATCAGGCATTAAAGGCAACAGAAAGTATCTCAACTTGCAAAAAGACGATCTAACAAATCAACCAGATCCTCTGTGACTCTGGAAGTACCAATTCTGAGTGGAGGAATGGATTAGAGAAAGTCATAAGCGATATTGGAAGATAATCCCAAACAACACAGCCAAACACAAACACATAAAAAAATCTTCATTTGTGAACTATGTACAAAATGGATAGAGGAACTGCTCCATATGAGCAGGAACAAACTGAGAACAGCAATAGGAATGTTAACGAGACATGCACCAGTAAGAGAATTTTTGAATAAAATGGGCATTTACAATGGAGACCTTAACTCAGGTACAAAAATTCTAGACCGGGTGTAAGAAACAACAATGGGCACCAAACACAAGCTTCAGATTAAGCAATATTGGAGATCTTTTGGATCAACAAGCGCCAGGGAGAGGAAACAAAAGAAATTGCTAAAAGATTAAAGATCATAGGCCAAAATACTAAATTGAAACACCTACTCCCACAAAAAATAACCGTTGAAACTTTAGGTATCTGGACAACGCTTCTCTGAAGCTCAAAGAAGGAAGCTCACCATAAGTTCGTACATAAATCGTATAACGGAAACCTACAAACCTGCTATATAAATCGGTCAGTGGGTCTGCATGTGAGTCCCTGTGCCGATAAAGAAACTTTAGTAAATTAGACAAGGGTGCACTAGAAGCCCTACTCGTTGAAAAGAAAAACATTGACGCAGGTAGGGGACATTAATGACATAAAGTTTGCAACAATCAGATAGACTACCGCTTATTACACGGAATAAAATATATGGAAAACACTGAGCAACATTAAATACAAAAGTAAATATTTTAAGAAACGAAGCTTATTATGTACATATTTTTAAATATCTTTGCAGTTAGGAGAAACTATAGAGTACCGCTAAGAAAGTTGCTAGTTTTTATTCAAAGTACAGGACTCCTTGGATAAAGTTTCTTGAAAGAAAAGCGCTTAGCTCTAAGTTCTCCTGACCAAGTGCAGCCACAAATAGTGCCCTTTTTAAGAGCTTGGCTATTTAATAATAAACTAATTTACGTGACACGGCATGATGTCTTGGTGAAATATCAGTTTTTAGTCTTTATTTGTGGACTTTGGACTATGATAAACCTTCGAATACTAAAAGGATAATTTTCTGTATTTTATGGAAAAATCTTGTCCAGAGGACTTAAATTTAAATCTTACTTATTTAAATATAAGTCCTTCGTTTTATATTTTATCAAAAGTTATGTCACGGAAGAAGAAACGTATATTTTCTTTTTCTCGAAGGTTCTCTCTATTATTCGTTATTCTATGGGCTTATACCTTATTAAATTGATCCGGCCTAAATCAAAATTGGTATAAAGAAATTAGATAATTAGTTTTTATGATATATTTCTTCCATTTTTAAAAAACTTCCACAAATTGGTGTACACCGAACCTTCGTGGACTTTAAAGAAGCTTACGATTCTGTTAGCAGAGAAGCATTGTGGGAGACCATGGTAGAAATGGGAGTACCTGGAAAGCTGGTACGATTAGCACAGGTGAGCACAGAGAACGCTTCCGCACGGATCAGAATTGGCAGCACCACGTCGGAGGAATTCCTCATTGACACCGGGCTTAGACAAGGAGATCCTCTCGCCCCCTGCTATTTAATTTTGCACTGGAACATGCGGTAAGGAAAGCTCAACCACAACTGACAAACGGATTTGCCGCCCAAGGATCAAAAATACTATTGGCGTTTGCGGATGACGTGGACACAATTGCACAATCCACCAGAGATGCAAAAGAAGTTTTCACCCTATTCGAAAACGGAGCCAAGGAAGTTGGTCTGAAGGTCAACGAGGACAAGACCAAGTACATGGTGGTTACGAAGAACCCAAGGCCAAGGGTTAGACAAAACGTAACAATCAATGAATACAACTTTGAAGTCGTCAAAGAATTCAAGTACCTGGGAGCGATCATAACATCTGAAAATAAATATGAAAAGGACGTGGCAGCCAGGATCATTGCAGGAAACAGGGCATATTACTCATTAATGACCGTACTTAAATCAAAAATACTCTCAATACCAGCAAAAATAAGAGTGTATAAGACAATAATTCGTCCCACAATAACGTATGGAAGCGAGACATGGACTGCTTCCATACTTCCAGCTTCGCTGAGCCAGCGGGAAACGACAAAATTATTGGTACCGGAAAGAAAGATACTGCGGACTATCTATGGGCCTTGCATAAAAGAGACAACAGGAGAATGGAGAAGAAGACACAATGATAAACTCCAGACAGTATATGGAGATGAAAACATGGTACGCTACATTAAAGCAAACTGAATAAAATGGGCGATCCACGTACTAAGATCGAATGACGAAAGACTTCTCGCCACATTCTGGAAAAGCCGATGACAGAAGGCCCAAAAAAGAGATGGAAATAGCTGCTCAGGAGCGACAACAATGGGAAAATAGTAAACGCGCCAGACTCACATAGAGTTGTAGAGCCAAATGATGATGATGAATATGATGAATTCCTCAAGTACCACGATCAAATCAATCAACCAAGAGATCTATTTGAAAAATACTATATATAACAAGGAGGTTTTAGAGCCAGAATTTGGGCCATTAAAGACCACACAGGAACCCTGAGAAACAATAAAACAGAAATAGCACAGACATGAAGATTATATTTCCCAGATGATTAACGCAAGGAACTTATTCACCACATGCATAAAGAAATCGAAGATGAACGTAACATACCTGGGAATAAAATAAGACTGGAGATCAGTAACCTTAAATATAACAAAGCACCAGGTCCAGATAGGATAACAACATAAATGGCCAAAGCTACAGAAAAAACCGAAATAAAATTGCTTCATTTGCTCTGTTACAAAAAATTCCAAGCAATGGTCTGATGACTGGACAAAATCTACAATAATGGCAATACATAAAAAAAGGCAGCTTCCGTAAATTCGACCACTAAAGAACCATCTCTCTTATCTCACATGCCAGAAAAATATTGCTGCACATAATCAGTAAGAGACTAAAAACTTTCTTGCAAATGGAAATACTCCAAGAGCAAACTGGATTTACTAAAGGTAAAGGTACTTAAGAACATCTGATTATAAAACAAATAATAGAAAATCTAGGGAATTCAATATCCCACTATACATACCACAACTTAATTTCGCTTATAACTAAACTATATAAATCGATTACTGGAACGGTTAAAGTACTTGATACACTTAAATGAATTCCATCCAGAAAAAGGTGTTAGACGACTACACTCTCGGGGGGATCACGATTGAAGAGAGAATTCTCGAGTAGCTTCGAAATTAGACATATTAAATAAATTGGCCTGTACGATGATTTTGTATTTGGTAGTTTTCTAGGATTGAAGATTATTTATATTTCTTATTTTTTACTTCTCAGGAATTTTTTAATTTGAACGAGTTAAGATATTTAAGTTTTACTATGGTTTTCCTAGTGAATTGTCTTAAGACTTCTTCAGTGATTAAACTCAATCCATATGCTAACCTGAAATCGACGATTTTTTCACTTTAATTAGCTATTTATTTTGAAGTTATTAATTTAATGTCACCTTCTCATTCGGTTGGCTGAAATATGTTTTCTTGGTATTCAACAAAGAATTAGGCATTCACCAGGTCCATTCACCATGAGTTTGACTGTCATTTTGGTAATAATATTATAATTTTTTAATAATACGCAAAATATGATCTTAAAAATATTACCTACGGAAAAGAAAAATTAAGAATCCAAAAATATATCACGAAAAGAGTTTTATGAAACTATTCATAATTCGCTATTTTTAACAAAACAACAACCTTGTTTCAATTCTAAATCTTTCCCTTATACAATGTTACAAAATAAAAATTTAAGTCAATATAACTTCAACATTTTTTGAATTTATTTTGTTTTGAAAATCTTATTATAAAATGGGTAGGTCCGTTCCTGGCGATCAAAGTCTGTACTTTAAAATCAACCGCTGCTTGGGAGCTTTGGAAGTCTAACATTAGTTTTAACGTAAAACGTGTTTCATGCATTATGAGTTGCCTACGTTTAGGTAGCTATTTGAGAGTTTAAACCAAATAAGTTATAAGAACCCTCAAAACAATTAGAGTATATTTTTAAATTATCAATTTTCTTTAAAGGAATCAGATGTGATGGATTTATAAAGTACTTTTTTTAATGCTGTAATGGGAAAATAAGGTTAGCTTATTAGTTATAGCTAATTAAAAAAGTAAAGAAAAATTATACAAAACTAGACAAAATTGGACATTGGCAAATTAAAATTATTTTATAGAAATAATGTAAGTAGTGAAAATAGACAATAAGGGAGAATGATAAATAAGAACAATCAAAATGGTAATATTTTTATAAAAGTATATCTTTGAAAAATAAAAAATACTTACCCAAAATAATTACAAAATTAATAATAAAAAATGGAGGAAAAGGACGTTTACGGAAAGATATAAATCATCACCATTATAATTGACACTACAATCATTTGTGGATCTTGGCCTGCTTGGAAAAAGTCACCACTTCCGTTGATTCCTAGCACCTTCGCTCCATCTTCTGATCCTCAGAATTCTTCCACATCTCAATCCATCCTCCACTTCTGTTGCCCTCTAGGTTTAAGAATGACAGTCTCTTCGTATTCTCAGTATCTGACATCCTAGCAATATGTCCAATCCATCTTAGTCTCTACACCTGACTAAATTCCACAATATCTTGATCTGTGTATAGCTGATATATTTCAAGGTCATATTATCTTCGACGCCATAGACCATTTTCATCAACGGCCCCAAAAATCTTTCGAAGTAGTTTTCTCTCAAAGAAAGCATGTAGTCTCTTGTCGTCTTGGGATAAAGTCTATGATTTTGCTTCATATATTAAAACCGGTCTTATTAAGGTAAATGTTAAGCTTTACTGCACGTTTTAAGTTTTTATTTCTCAGATGTTCAAGGCAATGAATTGAATATAGTAATAGCAAACAGAACTCTTATATACTAGAATTCTAGATATGGAATCTTTTACCCTCAAGGTAATAAGTTGGAATTCGATTCTCTGTTGAACACTGTGCGGGTTTTTAGCAACCAACACATATTTGTTTTGTTTTCTCTTATAGTCTCATACTTCTGCCCACTATAACGATATCATCAGCGAGTGCGAGCATTTGTGTCCATCTAATAATGACGGTTCCGTTCAGTTTTAAAAATAAGACTCATCTTCAATAATTTATAGCTTAAAGGAGAAACTTAAACTTTTCAACTCTTCCCGCTGTTCCATTTCATTCTGTGATATACATTGTCGAAAGTAGCGTGTATATCATCAATTTTTCTAGTTTATCCTACAAAATTCGTTTAAGGCATGGTTTATCTTTATGGTTTTTATCTGTATTTACTTGGGCCATAAAATTAGAAGAGGAAAGGACAATCAAACCTGTGCGATTCAGTGTCGTATAGATTTGGAATGGCAAATTTGGTAAGATGCGGTATATTAAAAGAATATTATAAAAGAAACGCTTACCGATTTGTTTAAAGAAAAAAGTTAACAAGACATGTATACTGGTGGTGATAACATCTGGTTCCGAATCATTAACATTGACTGAAAAATCTGCCAGTAAATTAAGAGTAACCAAATTCCAAGGGAAAAAGCAATGCAAAGGGTAATAAGAAGAGCTGTTATATCACACAGCAGAGATGACTAAAACAACAAATATTATGGAACAGATTGCACGAGCCAAATGGAGATCGGCTGGCCATACAGCACGTTTATATTATACGAGGTGGATCAAAATACTCAGAAGGCGTGCAGACCTAGAGAAAACAAAAAACACCTAGGTAGACCAACAATAAGACGTATTGATAACTTACAACAAACAGTAAAAAATTAAATAAAAAAAGCACAGAAAAGAAAACAGTCAGTAGAATTGATGAAATAATGTAACATCCACTTCTCCCATGGTGTGAAATATGGATTCATTTTAAGGCTTGTTCTGTGGAAATCTTGACAGGTATTCTGTCCAGTTTAATTTTCATAATTTTATGGGATATATCGTCGGTTTACTGCCAAAACCAGATAAGTGTTAGTTTTGTGAAAATCAAGTTTAAAAGTTTAAGCCTACAGTAAAACAACTACATGAAAGAAAACATTTAATAACCGATAAAATAACATAGATTGTGGTACTGTGAAGATAATTAACTGCAAAAATCAGAAAAAAAAATTAGGAAATGTTAAAAAATTTTAAAAAATGCAAAAAAAAACTGTACTTAACCTATTTTGTCTTAACTGATTGGCGTACTTGTCTTAAAGTATCTTTAACTTAAATGTCAACTTCAGGATCACTGTCTTCAAGTGCTGGTTCAGGAATATTGTCTTGAAAAACGTCGAAGGATGGTAAATTATAATAAAATAATTGAAATTTATCTGGAATCACACCCATTTGCACAACTTCAATAAATCTTGTTTTTTTTTGAACTTATAGATCGCATCTTCGTATACGCGTCCGTTAGCGTTATTTCTTTCAAATTAGGTATTTTTCGACTTCTCCCAAAAACGTTTATATCTTTGTAATCTGAGGTATGATCATACCTATATTCAAGGATTCCTGGTTTAGCCTTTTGGTATCGAAAACACTTAACTTTTAACCAGTTTACCTTTTTGTTTTTAATGTCTCTCGTTTTATTTTTAATAAGCTTAGAAAGGCCTTCTAAGTCAAGAAAATCTTTTTATTTGAGTTCCTGCACAACAAACGGTTTCTTTTTTGATGATGTTGTTCTGGCCATGCGAAATATTGTTAGTCAATCATGCATTGTATACATAGGAACATACTTCTGGGTTCGTTCAATGCATTGTGCATACTGTCCACCTATCTTTTCCATATTTCATATTAAGGCGATGCTTAAACTCTATTTTCGATGCTCTCAGCATTTATTTTTCCCAAAATAAGAACGTTGGCAACAGAGAAACACTGTCATGAAAACTTCCCTACGAATGCCCATACAATAACGGCTTGGTTTAGTTGCCACGAGCTTGTAAGAAAAAACATGTGATGTTTATAATAATTTTAAGTTTTAATTGCGTTTCAGTGGAGAAATTGATATCTTGTGGATCCAAAAAGTGTGTATAGTAAGTTGGCGGCAGTAAAAAAAGCATAATATTTAGATACATAATATATTTTATACACTTAGATCATTTATATGAAGGAACAGATTTCTAATATCTGCACTCGACGACATCGAAACCTCCACATCTGCAGAACCAGTGAATATTGTTATTTTTCCTCCTGATTCAGCCGATCAAGATACTGAAAGCAACGAGGATACTATTAACGATCAGGTATTAGATATTCCTGATGTACTAGACCAAGTACTCAGTGAAGTAGAAATCCATGCTTATGAATCCTCAGATTAGGATAATAAAGATAATATATCGATTTAACGTAAATGGAAAAGAGTAAGAAGGTTGAAATTCAAGCTCAAGCTTTCACACCACCAAGTGTAAGTTTTTTAACGCACCAATTACTCTGCGGTATAACTCTGCTTACTATTTTGGGTATTTGGTCAAATCTTCAAATTTAAACAATTTTGCTAGTATGCCACCACTACTCGACGGTTTGCTAATTTTTTAGGTATGTACTTTATTGATAGTGATTGGAATTTTAAGTATGTATTACTTTTAGCGTGTTTAACTCGCTTTAATATCATTAAAAAAAAATAGATTATATATGTATATTCAAACTTGACTAATATATTCAGCCATTGCAATGAGAGTCTGTGTATAGTAAGTTTTAAAAACCTCGTCAAAAGTTAATTTAAAAATGTTAAGGAATCACTTTTTCATTTCAAACAATGATGTTTTGATAACTGTACTTACCTTTGAAGAATGGCTCCCACTGGTACCGTGTACCTCGGAATAGTCGGTTATTGAATGAGGCACATTGTTCATAACGAAAGTCTTGACCAGACGGGCAGTCCTGCAATCAAATTTAAAATAATAAATTTTACAAACAATAACTAATGGCTTAAATGTGAATGTGTTGTTAGTGTTTTAAAGTTTATATTACTGTAGTTGCAGTATTTATTCTATTTAATTACTGTCAAATAATAAAATATCTACTCGAACAATAATACAATATCTACTAGGTATACTATTTTAATAAATGTATAAGTATAAATGTTAAAATTTTATTAATAGAATTGCTACTAAAATTTTTTAATTTATTTTTATATTCACAGTAGTATAGTGGTTATACTGATATACTCCAGTCAAGGAAAAAAAAAGCAAAAAAATTCGTATACATGTATTTAAAGGTTCTAAAATGTATATGAATGAATATATTGGTAGCTAATGACAATTCCATGAAGATGTACAGGTAATTTTGCTTTGCTTTTATTAAACAATCGAAAAAAGTGAAAAAAATATTTTTTGCCTATAAAACGTTACTCGTACATTTAAGAGAAAAATAATTTAATAAATGTTTTAGATCGTAAAAAGATCTTTAATTTTAGAGCATCCGAGTTAAAATACATAAAAATTGATCAAGATTTTCCAAAAAAACCTTATTTTTGCAGTAATTTATAAATATTTGCAAGTTTGTTTTAACATTTAATACAACATACAACCATTCAAAATTGTGACAGCGTTCAATTTTTCACATGCAAAAAATCATGTCATTTTTTCGCTGTATTATCAACTATCCTTCTACCACAATTTTACAATCATTAACTTAGTCCAACCCTTGATAACCCTTCCTATTCCAGTTTAAACTCCCTCCTTTAGAAATACACACAGTTTTAAAATAGAAAAGAAGAAAGACTCTCTCTTGATTGTTGACTGTCGCTAGGGACAGTCGTTGGCTCTTTCGTCTGCTGAGTCTCGCTAGGCAGACGTACTCTCTCTCTTGCCTGTTACCTATCGCTTGGTACAGACGTATCCCTCTTGGCTGTTATCTATCGCTGAAGAGACACTCTCTCTACTGTTGACTGCCGCTAACTAATTATCTCTCTCCCGCTTTTAGTTACGCGAAAAATACCGCAAATACTATTTTAAATCGCGTACAGACGCAAATGTGCTCTATCTCGTGATCTCAGTGTTAGTACCGCGAAACACGTGTTCAGAAACCGGTACCGGACAGATTCCAAGTATGAACAACAACCGCGAGTGAAAGCCGGTCAATACCGCGAGTGTGTGGAGCAGAATATTGGTAAGACTTTGTATAAACTTAATTTGCTATTGTCTGTATAACCCTTTACTACATATCCTAATTTATTTAAACCAACCCTATGTAATACAGTCCTCATACACCCTTTTTGTACAGTTAATCAGTTATTATAGTGTGCTAAAATTCTAAAAGATCAAAAAAATAGTTTATAAGTTATGCAATTTGTTTATCCCGAGGAGGGATTATTTAAACAACTGTACTTGCTGAAACAGTTAATCTAGAGTCACTATTTTGTAAATTGCAATCGATTATTTGAGGCTTTATTTTTAAGATTACGAAATTTTATTAAATGTATTCATAACAGTTTAAAAAGGGCTGAAATTTTAGCTTATAAAAATTTATAATGACTTTGAAATTTTGTATGTCATACGCTTATAAGTAGGCACAATGAAAATATGGTAAAAAACAAACTTTCCAAAAAAAAAACAGAAACTTATATGACCAGTAACCAGAAACAAGCTGAAATATTACAGCGGACAGTTTTCCCATACACTTTTATGTGACGATATTTTACGAGTATCATCACTTTAACGGAATATATCTTTTATTTGTTCACGTTATATATCATCTATAAGGTGGATCATAAAACTGAGCTCGTTTACAATCTTTTCAATTTTCAGCTCTTAATGTTACTGCACAAATTTAAATAATAATAAATGAAGCACATAACTGAAATTAAGGTGAAATAAAAAGTGAAAAAAAAATCAAAAATATATTTGAAGACTCAAAGAAATCAAATAGTTGGTGTTAAAAGCCGAGAAAGATGAGTCAATTTAGAGTAAAATATTGGTGCAATTGGAAAAGCTCCAGACCCGATGAAATACCAATTGAACTATTGAAGATAATTAATGAAGATAATATTGATGTCTTGGTAGACCTTTTTAACTCCATATACAAGACGGGACACATACCCAAAGAGTGGCTTCTCTCAACTTTTGTGACGATTCCAAAAATCACAAATGCTAAAGATTGCAATGACTATCGAACAATTGCGTTAATGAGCCACACATTGAAAACCTTCCTTAAAATCATACATAACAGAATCCACATGAAATTAGAACAAGAAATAAGTGATTCACAGATGGGTTTCAGAAAGGGTCTAGGAACTAGAGAAGCATTATTTGGAGTCCATGTTCTGACACAACGATGCCTGGATATGAATCAGGACATATATGCTTGCTTTATAGATTTCAAGAAAGCTTTTGATAGAGTTCAACATGAGAAGCTTTTAAGTATTCTTAAGACTAAAAACATTGATAGTAGAGATCTACAAATTATATCGAATCTGTATCAAAACCAGAAAGCAAGAGTAAGAGTCGAAGGAGAACTGACAGAGGAAGTAAGTATACTTAGAGGAGTTCGACAAGGGTGTATCCTTTCACCACTCTTATTCAACGTCTACAGTGAAGTGATTTTTCAAGAGGCTTTATTGGATATCGTGGAAGGTATTTATGTCAACGGAAATAGCATTAATAATATTAGATATGCCGACGATACTGTCATATTTGCAAGTGACATGGAAGATCTACAGTACATAATACAACATGTATACAATGCATGTGAAAGTTACGGACTGCAAATGAATCTCAAGAAAACGAAATCAATGATATTCTCAAAAAAACCACAAAATGTAAATAACCTGATCATCAATAATACAACGATAGAAAGAGTAAAAACATATAAATATTTAGGAACGTGGCTAACCGAAGATGGAGATCAAGTAAAGGAGATCAGATCTAGAATAGAAATGGCAAGAAACACGTTCATAAAATTGAAGAAATTACTTTGCAACCGTAACCTTAATCTAGAGATTCGCACAAGAATGCTACGTTGTTACGTCTTCTCTACTTTACTATATGGCATGGAAGCGTGGACAATAAAGCAGTCTGAAATCAAAAAATTAAACTCCTTTGAGATGTGGTGCTACAGGAGAATGCATAAAATATCGTGGATTGAAAAAGTAACTAATATAGAGGTGTTACAAAGAATGAAGAAAGAATGTGAAGTCATAAAAACTGTTAAAATTAGAAAGATTCAATATCTGGGACATTTAATGAGGGGTGAGAAGTACGTATTACTGAGGTTGATTATGCAAGGGAAGATACAAGGGAAGAGAAACCCAGGACGACGCAAAATGTCCTGGCTAAGAAATTTGAGAGAGTGGTTCGGCTGCAGCTCATTAGAATTATTCAGAAATGCGGCCAACAAAGTTAAAATAGCGATGATGATTTCCAACCTCCGCTAGGAGAAGGAACCCGAAGAAGAAGATTGGTGCAATTAACTTGGAACGGAAAAGGAAGCAATAATACAAAATGGTGGAATTTTTTTAGTGTTAATAAGGATACTTTACTTTAAATTTTAAATTTCATGTAATAGTGGGATTGCATCAGTGCTCAGTGCTGAGTCCTTATATATTCTTATTAGTATTGTTCTAAAGCTATTTTCTTGTGGCATTTTAAATTAATTACTATTTAACTGGAAATAAGCCACAATTAAAGGTTAAAATACGTTTATTGACGTTTCAATTTCCACTTCGGAAATCGTTCGAGAACCTTTGAGATCTTTGAGTACGTGTCATTTGTCAAGTTTCCTTATAAAGAAATATTTTAATTCGCTATGTATGCTTATGGTATTGTTCGTAATGCGCATTCAATTTTCCAAATATATTTACATATTTTTTGCGCCTCATAGAGTCTCTAAGCATATACACGAACTACTACTATACTCCCTAAAACGACACTCAGTCCAAACTGCAAGTCGCAAAAGTCTCGCAGACTCAGTCTTGTTCTTGCTCAAATCTTGCACGGTCAGTCTTGATCTTGGTCTTACTAAAATTAGGCGGTCGTGGTCTTGGTCTTGGTCTTAGTCTTGCGAAAACGCAAGAGCAAGACCAAAACCGATGTTGGGCAACACTAGAAGCGAGTGGTGCGTTGTGTAACAAAAATATTTCAATGAAACTAAAAAAAATTTAGAAAACTTTATTGTCAAAAAAATAATAAAACTGATAAAAAGTATATTAGGATAGTATCAATTGATTCCAAAATAAAACAGTATAAGTTAAGATGGTTCGTGAATGTTCAACTTTGAGACGCTAATTACCCAATACGAAAATATTTTTTTTCATATTATTTTAACTTACTGAGAAACACTGTGTATAACACACAATGTATTTCAATTTTGAGTAGCAATCCATTTTAACGTTTTTTAATATACCACAAACGATAACTATGCCAATTTGAAATATTAACCCCCTCTGTGGCTCAGTGGTAAGAGCGCCTACCTTTAAACCTTAAGGTCGTGAGTTCGAATCTCATCTGGGTGGAGAAATTTTCGTTTATTAAAAATTAATAAATGAAAATAATTTCTATCCTTGTGCGATCGGTACTCACCGGAGGGACCGCAGACGTTCGGATACAATTAGCGTCTCTTAGCAAAGACAATGACGTCGACTTTGCTAAGTATCAAGACAATTACTCTACACACACACACTACACTAGGTACCTGACTGTACCATGCCAATGATCTTAGTTGTCGAGGCATTAACCCAATATTAAAAAAAATTGAAATAATATTTTAGACGACATAAAAAAATCAATTAGTAAAACAAGTATATAACTAGAATTTTGATTAATATAAAGAGACAAGAGATCATATCAACTTACTTGACTATTGCACAAATGAATCCTCTTATAAAGTCCCACGCAGCCACTGACAAGACGTTTACCATTTTGACGTCGTCTTCTTTGTCTTCGAACAAACCTGCAAACAAATTAATATTAAAATTGGATGTGCGTGATAATCTCTTTTATTTACTTCAAAATATGAGTAAGAATAAGTAATTTACTTAAGCTCGTTAGATATTACTTTAGCTAAATCTGTGCTTTCCACAATTTACAAAGCAAACAGACGACAAATGATGTGACATGAGGAATCTAAAAATTGCATTCCATAACACGTTACTTTATATAGGCAAAAATTCTATTGCGAACTGATTTTTAGTACTTAAGTTAATAAAAACTACGAAAAACAGTTAAGAGTTGTTGAATTTTAATACAGAGCATAACCATTCACTTCGTACGTACATAGTTGGGCCTTGTGGTAAGCTCTAAATGAAACAAAATTTTTTTGTCATATTAGAAATTAACTAAAAAAAATGTACACCAGACACTACAGCGACATCTATTAAAAACCCTCTATTTATCAGAAAATAAATAAACTGACACCTGACTTAGTCAACTGAGTAACTTATTCAACTAACCAAGTTGACGTGTTGAGGAACGCAATTTTAAGATTTCTTGTGCCAGTCACAAAATTGACCACTTTCACTCATCAGACAGGAAAATTGGAAATCAAGTTCCCGCAGACAATATAAAAAGATGTTTTTGGTGCTGTCAATGAAAGTATTCTAAAAAGTCGAAAGAAAATGCAAAAAAGTATTTTTGAAGTGTGTATATTTTAGGCAATTCCTAGCTGAGCGCTTTCGGCTTTACAAAGCCATCATCAGAGCTATGCTACAATAAAATGTTCTTATAAGTACTAATTGGTAAAGATTGTAATTTTTAACTTACGTCAATTTTTTAAATACCACTACAAAGGAGAGATCTCATTTCCTTAAATTTCAAAATTATGATTTTGTAGGTGTTGAAATTCTTAAAACATATAAAAAACATATAAAAAGCCGACACTGGACTTCACAAACACGTTAAAAAATTGAAAAAATTTTTGTCATGGTACGGGTTTAAGAACCCGACCATTGATTGATGTGAGGACGTAGACTGAATAGAACTAATGAAATCAAATGTCGGTCCTTTTAAACGATTTTTCAAAAGTGACAGGTGACAAATGTCATATATAGGAAATAGAGATTGTTTTTTTAAATTCTTACAAAATTATTTAGTAGTTTGGAATTACTAATAGTCATCAAAGACTTTCTAAAAATTAAGTTTTTAAATTAAATTTTATGTGTTCATCACATCATACAGAATGACATTAGTTTGTAAATTCACTCAAGTCATTGCTCAAGGTCAATGTATGTTCAATCTGACAGCTATCCTTAAGAAACAAGGGCTCAAATTGTTCAACAACAATATAAAGAAGAAACATGGTATTAATGTTACGTTATCTGATACTTAAGTGTATTAAGAATTGTATGTCTTGATGGAAAATTGTAAGAACTTTGCATAAAAAATTTTTTTAAGAATGTATTTTCATGTTTCAATTAAGAACAACTGTCAAATGAATTACAAAATGTTGTAAATTTTAATAAAGTTTAAAATTTGTTTAAAAATATAAAAGTATGAAAAATATATAACAAGATTGCATGAGGTCACCCTTCTTCCTCTAAAGTCTCCCATAATAATTTAAAAAGAGGTTTATAGTTGCAATTGAGGTTGATTTGTGTGTTTAAGCAACAATCAGGGTTTATTTTCATTTCTTTGGATATCTCTAGATCTTCCAAGAGATTCATGAGTCTAAAGTTTTTATTGGGAATGTTGTGTAAAATTTTACTGTTTTCAGAAGGAGAAAATGAATGATTATTAAATTTAATGTGATATCCAAAGTTTGATTTTTCTGGGTTATTGAGGTGTTCTTTGATTCTTTGATTCAGAGTTCTCATTGTTCTACCTACATAAGTCATATTACAGTCACCACAGGACAGCTTGTAAATACCACTTCTGTTTAGTTTGTCAACTTTGTCTTTGGTCTTGCTGAAGATGGACTTGATGTTATATTTGGTTTTAAAGGAGATGTTTAAGTCACTAATTTTATTAACAAGTACTCTTGAAATTTTTTCTGAAATTGGTCCTAAGTAAGTTAAGGATCTATATATGGAAGTAGTGTTGGATTTGTTATCAACATTAAAAGCTTGGTTTAGTCTCTTTTTGAGTATAGATTTTCTAATGACTTTATCAACAGTAGTAGAAGGAAAACCATTGTTGTTTGCTATCTGTTTAATGATGGAGATTTCTTTATTGTAATTTTCTTGAGACATAGGGATATTAAGAAGTCTGTGGACATAACATTGAATAGCTGCCATCTTGTGTTGAAAAGGATGATTTGATGATGTTGGTATCATATGGTCAGTTTGAGTAGGTTTTCTGAATATTGAAAATTCTAGTGTAGGCAAAGAAGAAAAGGAGGAAGTATTCTTTTTGATAGTTAGGTCTAAAAAGTTGATAATGTTGTTGCTTTCTACTTCTAAGGTAAAATTAATTGCAGGATGTAGATTATTAATTATTGACAAAATATTGTGAGGTTCTGAAGGTGGGCCTTCTATAAAGGCTAAAATGTCATCCACATATCTGTACCATAGGATTATTTGTGGTTGAGAATGAACAAAGTTAGTTTCGAGAGAGTCTAGAAAAAGATCTGCAAGTAGAGGAGATAAAGGATTTCCCATTGCTAAACCCTCTGGTTGTCTATAAATTTTATCGTTAAAGATAAAGAAATCTTGGGAAAGGCAAAATTGGAGTAGAGAAGTAATTTGTGAACATTTATTTTGGTCAATGTTTTTTCTTTGTAGAAGGTTATTGATGATTGGAATGGTGTCTAATCTGGGAACATTGGTGAACAGATTTGTTACATCGAAAGAGACCATAGTGAAGTTATTCGGAAGAGTATGTGAAGAAATTTTGGAGATTAAATCTAAAGTGTTGGCAATAGTATATTTGGGAGTGTAATTAAGTAGATCTAGTAGAAGAGTGTTGATAAATTTTGCTAGTGAAGCTAGTGGGGTATTGACAAAACTAACTACAGGTCTTATTGGAACATTAGCTTTATGAATTTTAGGGAGACCATAAAGTCTTGGTATTAAAGGATTGCTAGAAATGAAAGTTTTGGGGTTAGTTCCAAGTTCTTGAAACAAATTAGTTGCATTAGAAATGTTTGATTTTAGATCATTTATAAGTTTATTCATTGGGTTCTTGTTAAGTGGAATAAATGAGTTGTTGGATAGAAAAGATTCTACTTTGTTAACAAGAACTTAACAAGAACCCAATGAATAAACTTATAAATGATCTAAAATCAAACATTTCTAATGCAACTAATTTGTTTCAAGAACTTGGAACTAACCCCAAAACTTTCATTTCTAGCAATCCTTTAATACCAAGACTTTATGGTCTCCCTAAAATTCATAAAGCTAATGTTCCAATAAGACCTGTAGTTAGTTTTGTCAATACCCCACTAGCTTCACTAGCAAAATTTATCAACACTCTTCTACTAGATCTACTTAATTACACTCCCAAATATACTATTGCCAACACTTTAGATTTAATCTCCAAAATTTCTTCACATACTCTTCCGAATAACTTCACTATGGTCTCTTTCGATGTAACAAATCTGTTCACCAATGTTCCCAGATTAGACACCATTCCAATCATCAATAACCTTCTACAAAGAAAAAACATTGACCAAAATAAATGTTCACAAATTACTTCTCTACTCCAATTTTGCCTTTCCCAAGATTTCTTTATCTTTAACGATAAAATTTATAGACAACCAGAGGGTTTAGCAATGGGAAATCCTTTATCTCCTCTACTTGCAGATCTTTTTCTAGACTCTCTCGAAACTAACTTTGTTCATTCTCAACCACAAATAATCCTATGGTACAGATATGTGGATGACATTTTAGCCTTTATAGAAGGCCCACCTTCAGAACCTCACAATATTTTGTCAATAATTAATAATCTACATCCTGCAATTAATTTTACCTTAGAAGTAGAAAGCAACAACATTATCAACTTTTTAGACCTAACTATCAAAAAGAATACTTCCTCCTTTTCTTCTTTGCCTACACTAGAATTTTCAATATTCAGAAAACCTACTCAAACTGACCATATGATACCAACATCATCAAATCATCCTTTTCAACACAAGATGGCAGCTATTCAATGTTATGTCCACAGACTTCTTAATATCCCTATGTCTCAAGAAAATTACAATAAAGAAATCTCCATCATTAAACAGATAGCAAACAACAATGGTTTTCCTTCTACTACTGTTGATAAAGTCATTAGAAAATCTATACTCAAAAAGAGACTAAACCAAGCTTTTAATGTTGATAACAAATCCAACACTACTTCCATATATAGATCCTTAACTTACTTAGGACCAATTTCAGAAAAAATTTCAAGAGTACTTGTTAATAAAATTAGTGACTTAAACATCTCCTTTAAAACCAAATATAACATCAAGTCCATCTTCAGCAAGACCAAAGACAAAGTTGACAAACTAAACAGAAGTGGTATTTACAAGCTGTCCTGTGGTGACTGTAATATGACTTATGTAGGTAGAACAATGAGAACTCTGAATCAAAGAATCAAAGAACACCTCAATAACCCAGAAAAATCAAACTTTGGATATCACATTAAATTTAATAATCATTCATTTTCTCCTTCTGAAAACAGTAAAATTTTACACAACATTCCCAATAAAAACTTTAGACTCATGAATCTCTTGGAAGATCTAGAGATATCCAAAGAAATGAAAATAAACCCTGATTGTTGCTTAAACACACAAATCAACCTCAATTGCAACTATAAACCTCTTTTTAAATTATTATGGGAGACTTTAGAGGAAGAAGGGTGACCTCATGCAATCTTGTTATATATTTTTCATACTTTTATATTTTTAAACAAATTTTAAACTTTATTAGAAATTTACAACATTTTGTAATTCATTTGACAGTTGTTCTTAATTGAAACATGAAAATACATTCTTAAAAAAATTTTTATGCAAAGTTCTTACAATTTTCCATCAAG